CAACGGTAAATTAATTAAAAGAAAGCCAATTATTATGTTTCAAAATATTTCTAGATATAAAGAAGCCTAAAAACTCACAAGTATTGTTTTTTCAGAAATTTTTAAGTTTTAATAGTAAATTTAAGTGTGAATTTATCAGTTTCAATATAATATTGCTTCGTGCATAGTGAATGCTTATCAACGATAAAATATCAGAGATTTTTTTGAAAATCTCTTATCTTGCAGAAAATGCATTGAGGAAATTGTTCGCTATCATTTCATAACCCATTATAATCAATCATATTTTCCAAGTTTTTCCTTTTTGCTTTAAAGTTGGGAAGTGAAGCAAGTGTTTGCTTTGAAAGTCTTGTGAAAATTGCAATGAAAATAGTTTTGGATTTGCTCAGCTCAGCCGGTAGTGAAGACAAACACAACAGTCCATTAAAGTAAATACACTTTTGATGAGCATTAAATTTTGAATCGATTTAAGCACGTCCGTCCATATGTAATGGCCGTGGAAAATATTCTACCGCTCGCAAAAATGATGATATCGCCATCAAATTTGACAAAAACACTGAAAGTACTTATAAGCAGGTTTGTGTGGAAAAGGCGTGTCCTCTTGCAAATCGGCAAGAGGACACGCCTTCAGTGCAACATAAATTGAGAACATCTTTGCTTTTTTGCTTAAATTTTTTCCTCATTAAGTCTATTCAACAAAAATGGAAAACATCAACCTCGCCCACCCAATATGATGTAGTAGTAACCTTTAGTTTTTCGTCTTTTATTTTTGGTCCCTTTCAGAATAACTGTGGTAAAGGTATGCATAAATGATGATACAAAATCAAAGCCGTTTTTTTTCTTTTTAATTATTAATAGACAATCACCTTTCACAAGCCATAGTATTATTAAATTTATCCTAATCCTGGAGTTATCTATAGGGGAAAACTTAAACTAAATAAATTTCTACATTTCCATTCCCCAATAGCGAATATAGAAACGTGTAAACAGAAGGCAAAAAAAAAAAAAAAAAAAAAACTTCATTTCGTTATTTAGCTGACTTTATAAAGTTTACTGCACTTTTCAATGAAAAAATTATCAGTAAAGCAAAAAGAAAAAAAAAAAAAAATCCCGAGGAAAACTTTATCAATATTCGAAGTAAATGAAAGAAGAGATCAAGCATTTATTTTCTTGCTTCGCTTGCATACATATTTTTAATGGAGAAAGTCTTTATGTGTGACTCTAAAAGGCACATGTACCTCTTACACTTACATGGCGAAAATATCTTCCAACATATGTTACATGTATGCATGCGAGAGTAAATATGAATTATTTCCAACACTTTCCCTAAAATGTTTATTATGAACTTTTCGTTGTCATACATTTTCAGTTTCGTTTGACCTCCATCAGTTTGTGTTTATGACGCTTTGCGAATTCGTTTTCTTTTTTTTCTTTTTAAATTTAAGTTTTTATTGACCAAATAATAGCATTAATGGTAGAAAAAATCAAGCACAGCACAGAACAGTAATAGTAGAAAGCACCAACAATGAAAAATTTTGCTAACAAGCTTTTTGGTGGATGAAAGTTCTTTAAAGTGGTCAATGCTAGCGGTTGGCCATAAACGATGATTCATATAGAAAAATAAACAAAACGAAAGAAAAAAAAAACGGGAAAAAAATGCTTAAAGAAGAAAATTTTGCAAACAAGTTTTATTATTTAGTTAAACGAAATCACAATGATAAACATTTAATGCTTTTATAAAAATGTAATAAAATTAATAAAGCAAAGAGAAGAATAATACAGAAGCTCAGGCAAACATACATGAGCTTATTATAAAAAACTGTAGCTCTTATTGCCATAAAGTATTGAAAAGGAGCAGAAGCATACTAACACACAAAGAGGGGTTGAAACATTACGTGTCACACACATTCAAGTAATACGGAGTTTGTAGCAAAAGCAAACAGACAATGATTTTGAGCCGGCTAAACGAATTTTTTTTGAATAGCTAAGCGGAACAAGCCCAAACACAAACGCACACAAACAGACACATATATTTTATTGCCTTTTGATGTCATAAACCGAAATCATTACACTCGGACTGATTCTCGTTTGTTATTTTCTTAACCGAACAAGCAGACGAGCTATGCACAACATACGCATTTTAAGTCTACATGTTACGACCTCTCCCCGGAAAAAATTACTTTTTACTTTTCACTCTCCACTTCTAAAAGACGTATGCAATAGTATTAAGGCGAGCAGAATAGAGTGTGTGTAGAGAATAGAAAATAGAAGCATTTTACTGCTGAAGTAAAACCGAGACTCCAACCCAGTATAAATCAGTTTTTTGAAAGAAATTCAGAGTCGTTGCTTCACCATTGGAAATCCATATATATCTTCCATGGCTGGACATTTCTCTTTTAAAATGTTTGCGCTGATCAAAAAGTATACGGAATTATTAAACAAACGGTAATTTTATTTTTTTTCATTAGCATGTTATTGATCTTAATTTTAATGCTGCAAGATGCCTTACAGAGACGCTTAACCTGCTGTTGCTATTCTTTACAATAAGACTCAATCAATTAAATGAAGACACTAACTAACCAATCATAGGATGATCCGGTAGTCGGATTTTTCAAATGTGTGCTATGTTATGCTAAAAATTAACCATCGATCTAAATTGAAAATAATAATTTAAGACAAAGAAAAACATTACTAATTGCTTCAAGGCAAGATTACCGGTACTTTTTGATCTATATATATATATATATATATGTATATGTGTTAATTTTAATGTATTCTGCATCCAGTTGGTGGGAGTAGACAAAGGCAGACAAAAATTTGATGAAAAAAAATAAAATAAAATAAGAGGAGGAAAAGAATTACAAAAAAAAATAAATGTTAAGTAAATTGTGCAACGATTGCATAATGGATTTTCACTGAGAAGGAAAAGGAAAAGGCCGGACAAAGAGAGAGAATCATTTGATAATTTCAAAGAAAGAGGGAATCTTAAGAATTAATTTAACATATGTGTATTTTATATATTTTAATATTTATTGAAGCATTTGTTTTGCTTATCGCTTCCTCTTACGTTTCATATTTGTAAACTTGTTTAAAATTATCGATTTTTTGAAAGTTAGTTAGTTTCTTTTTCAATTAAGACACAACAGATGTTTACGCATGAAATTGAAATTCACTTAATTTTATTTATATATTTACTATGATTTTGATGATTTGGAGGCTTTTTCCGTTGCCTTTTTTTTTTTTAAATGAATCAATAGAAAGAAATAAAAATTCGAGATTTTTTTTTATTTAGTTAAAAAAAAAAAAAGTACATACCGTCCTTGACTTAGCGGCCTTATTATCATTTACATTGGATTTATCTTTATATGAGCCATATACATTATATATATGTGCGCTTATAGGCGCATATGTATGCATAACAAAATACACCATTTTCGTATATTTCTTCAAATGAACTTTACTTCTTCTTCTTCTTCTTTGCGGCACACACAATACAAATTACAAAGTGAAGGTAAAATTTTTTTTTTCAAAAAGAAAAAGAGCTCGAAATTTCGAAAAAACGGTTTAATCGCCTAAGGTCGAAAATGTAATCATAACAATGAACTACGAGTGTTGTGTAAACGGAAGTTTAACAATATTCAAGTTTTATCTTATTAGGAACAATGACGTTGCCCAATATTTCATTATTTCTATGATCAACAAGCCAAACCAACATGAAAGTATGTGGATAATAGGTTTGTTTCTTCAAAAAATTCGCGTTGTCTGGTTTTTGTTACCCAAAAGACGCAGTTACTTGTAAGATATGACAAAGTAAATATCGACAACTAAAAGAAAAACTAGAGTATTTAAAAAATAAACAGTTATTTTCTACTTTGCGTCACCATCTTAGGTCATTATTTGTCAGGGGAATAAAAACACCTTTTTATTTTTCTCGTTAATTAAAAACAAAAACGGACTTGCCTTCAAAAATTGATATATTAACAAATAGTTTTATTAATTTCCGGCTGTGTTTATTCGCGAAACTGAACTTTAATCCTGGTGAGCGAAATTGTTGTTTAATTCTTCAGATTCTTCTTAACTCAATCGAGTGGCTAAAAGTTTAAAGACACATGTCTTATAACCCTTAGCAAGGTACTCGAAAAACTGACATATAGGTCAATATATGCGCAATAATATTTTAATAATTAATTCTCTAATGGCGACGTAATCTAAGATGCTTTCCCTTGCTATTGGCAAATAATTTTTTTTCAAATAGAAATAAAATTTCAAAAATATACTCAACGACTCGATTGGTACTTTTTCTTCTTCTTCTTGTTTGTTTCTGATTACTGTTATACTTATTATTATTAGTTAATCGGCATATTGGGATCAACAATCCGGCATATCACCTAATTCTAATATACTCGCGACAACTCTTAAGCATACACATATTTCTATTCAATATACTCACATTTAAGCATAGAGTAGCATAAATTAATATTAACGCCAATATACTTAGTCACAATCATAAACCACCTCATACAAGCGCAAATAAACAAATGGATTTCGCTAGTAATTGATTTGTACTAATAATGGAAAACTTGAAAACGAAACAGTTTTTTTTTTTTTGCCTTGCTATTAACTCCGGTTTTTTTTTTTTTTTTAATTCCAATTGTATAAAACCAACTTGTAAAAATTTTTTATCCAATTAAAGGACGATTGTACACTTACGTGAATAACATTTTTCCCCCTATTATGTTTTATTATTCATGTTAACATTAACCAAGAAAAACAACGATATGAGTGAACTTTCTTTTGCCGTATATGTGAGGCAAATGTTTTCCTTTGATTTTACAAACTTTGTTGCTGCCATTTTTCAAATATTATCTTTTTCACTGCACCCATTATAACATCTTTTAACACAAACAATTGCAATATTTCTTTGTTATATTGCAGCACCATTTATCGTAAAATAACACAAAAATAAAAAAAATTTTAGTAAATATTATTCTAAGTCTTTTTACCTTTTATTTTATGAAAGACAGTCTCGATTAATCTTGGCGTTTCTTCGACAGACATGTATCGTTTATCTCCTCCATGGCATCAAATAACTGATTGGATTGGCTCCACCCGTCACCAATTCATGTAATCCTTTTTTCTTTAAATAATTTCTCTCTATATTGCTTTGCTATAATAACACTTTTATTATTAATTATTTGATACATTAATTGATTTTAAATTTTATTTTTTCTAATAAGTTTCTTTCATATATAAAAGTACAAAGTATTTGTTAATTTTTCTTTTATTGTGTAGAGAAAAATTAGTAAACTCTTCTCTTTCATCTACTTCGAGAGAAAACTTAGACAAAATAAAAATTTTCCGCGTTATCGTAACATTTCGCAATTATTTGGATATATAGCTACTTGCATGTTATTTAAATATTAAAGAATTATGTTAAATTTTTATTTTAACTATAAAATGCTAAACATATACATTTGTATATATGTAGATATTAATAAATATATACATATATATGTATATATATTTTCTATTAATTTTCACCAACAATTATGAATTTTAACACTCGAGAGAGCGATATAATATTTATCCTTATCGCTCAAAGAGAAAAAAGCGAATGAAAATAAATAACAAATATCGCCAGCTGCAGGTTCGTCAGATGTTTACGGAGAGAGGAGATTTCTTTGATTCTTGGCAGTATTGAGTTCCTGCTGGCGTTGTTATTGTAAAATTTCGTTTGCTCTGAGAGTTAGATTCTTGGCAGCACTGAATGCATGCTTGCACTGTTATTGTAAAACTTTGATTTCTGTTAGAGAGGATTTCTTTGATATGTGACTATGAAAAAATAAAAATATGTTTCGATTTATATTCATATAAGCAATTGCTAAAAATTGATTCTCTCTGTTTTAGAAACACGAATGAAACAGAATTTTGCACTAACAACGCCAATAATACTATAGTGGTGCCAAGTAATTAAATAAATGCTTTCAAAGCAAACAACATTTTACAATAACAAACAAATACGTCGAAAACTGATGTTAGTTGCAAAAAAATCAATTCTCAGAGTAAATATAAGCCAATAGAAAATGTTGTCTCTCAGAGTAAATGAGTAAACAATATTTTACAAACAATGTCAACTATGGATGAATAAGTGATGCCAAGCCGAATGTTAAAAGATATCTTCTCTCTTAGCTCTGACTGTAGTGTTGCCTGTCAAAATAAATTTTTTTCTACCCATGTCGAACTTTTGTAAAAGTAGGAGTACACGACTTTCAACTAATTCAACAGTAAATCACTTTTATCACAATTATCTCTTGTCTTAATATGTAATAAAACAATTCGTTTTCGTGTCTTCAATAATAGGTCTTACCGACTTGGTGGACTTCATATTAGGTAATACGCTTAGTTTTTGTTTAAAGGGTTTCACTAAAAGGATTCTATCGGTTTATTTCCTATAATCTATGGACGAGATCTTTTGCATATAAAATATGGTAAATTTTCTAGTAAATGAAAATCTTAAGGACTAACCAAATCAAAAATATGTTCTTATTTGTGAGCGTAGCAATAAATTTTAATATAATCAAAAGTATATACTAAAACTCAATTTTCTAACTAGTTTGTGTGTAAGTTAACAGAACCTATTTGAAAATTGACTGTTGACTAAAGCAGAGAATAACATACTGCCACCACTACAGTTAAATTTAAATTATTGATGTGCTTCTTAATAGTTTATACAAGACTTACTCTATTGAATAGTTTCATGGGTCTACCCAAGCAATTTCGAAAATTACTTTTACTTAAAACGTTGCTTAGATTTTTAAGCAAGCTTAGATCTCCAAAAATTCGTAGAAAGTTTTCTTTTAATAGGTCATTACATTTTTTTGAACTACTTTTTGAAATTTACTTCAACTAATAGCAATCGGACTTATTTGCAGACGAAGAGGACCCTAAAACACTATATTTTTAACATTATAACTTGGCTCCCTTTAGTTAATACTTTTCAGCTGTTAATCGTATTAAAAAGTTTCCTGCAACAAAGTTGTACATTACTTTATTTACAAGAATTATGAAAATGTATATAGTTTTAATCATCAGAAATTAATATGATTATAATAATTATTTATTTATTTTCCTTAAAAACTTATATATAATTAGAAAAATATATCGCTTTAACCTTTTTGTCTTACTTAAATATTGCTAGTACAGTACATATATTGAGGACAAGAACTTTAAAAGCGAACGTTAGAATTCATGAATGATAGTAATCACTAATTCATTTTAATCACATGATTACACACGATCAACCGTGTGTAGAGCGTTTCTAGTTTAAAAATATTACGAAAATCGCTAAATTGACATTATAATTTATACGAGAAAAAGAATAAGAACTATCGTTAGTTTGTGTAGTTGTTTCTTTTTTTCACATATAATTTAAAGCATTTGTCAACAGAAAACGAAATATGTTTTAAAAATACTTCAGTTTATATTTTGTTCTACGCGAAATCGGTTGTGTGTGATTGTTAAAATATCTGTATATAGAGTGTAAAAAATTAAATGAAAGAAGTGAATTTTCTCTCGTGGCATAGAAAATTTGTGAAAAAAGAAGTACACAAAAGATCCGAAACACACACACATTCGCACACAAAATATATAAACGACCAAATGTAGAAATGAAATAAGAATATACGTTTTATAAATAATTATACTATATATAAATATATTTATAGAAAAAATTAAACACTTTTAAAAAAAAATGTATCAATAATTTTTAAACCAATAAAAACGAACTTAATGCTTAGGCTTAATATTGTGTGAAACGAAAGACGGGAAAAAACTTAAAGGCAATATCAATTTTTTTCTTTCGGAAAGTATGTAAGAAGAAGAAGCAGACAGGCAAAAAAAGTGAAAAAAGTGTACAACCGGAGGCGACCAAGTGTAAAGAAAAGGTAAGAAGGCACCATTAAAAATGTATTAATTAAAAATAATTAAGTGTTAAAATATGCTAAACATGTTTATAAAGGGCATACATTTGAAGTATAAAAAATTAAATAAATTTGTTACTAACGATGTGTGCAATAGTAAATGGATGGGCGTAAATTTGCAAGATAAAATTATTTTTAAATATTGCAAACACGTAAAGATTAATTAATTAAAAGGATCACTTACGAGTTTAAGTTTAAATAAAAATTACTATTTATATAAATTTAACTCATTAAGCTAAAAATTTCACTTCGATTTTTTCCAACAAACGGGAAATGCAAATACATTTAATTTCGCCCAATAATATAGTGATCCTGTTCTCGTCTGTAATAAAGCGCTATCCTACATTAACAAGTCGAAGCGAACTTAACTTTTCTTCTAGTATTGAGCACTTTTTTAACTATTCTTACTTATGATGGATATGACGTTCGTTTTAATGATTAGTATTGGTTTTCTCTTTCGTATTTTAGCCGAATTAAAATGAGTAAACTATATGATGTAGGCAATGTATTCGTATATATTGCATTAATATGAGGGTTTTGTTTTCAAGTGAGTGCGTGTAGGTGTGTATTGAAACTATTACCGTATGTTTTGTTATGATATGTGCAACGTGTTGTGTGTATAATCATATAAAATCAAAACAATGTTTTTGGTCTCTTTTCAATTCATATTTATCCTGATAAAAACACATGTTATAATATGCCTTTGTAAATTTCTCATAATTATGTATTTTTGTTGCTTCAATTGTTATTATTGGTATTTATTTTGTATTGTAGTTATATTAAAAAAAAGTTCTTCATATTTTTTTTGTTTTTTTAAATTATTGATTTTGGTTTCACCTTAATGTACAAGTGTTTTTAATTTGTTTTATTTCTTTGTTTTTTCTCTGCAATTCATTTCATTCTATTTTATCGCTATACTTTCCCGCGCTTTCTTTGTAAAAATATGGAGGTAATTTTTAGCGCCAAAAATTTGTTAAGTCGTATTTCAGTGTTAACGACTTTGCATTTTGTTTACGCATATATTCCTCTGGACTAATAAAGTGATGGTTTATAATCTTAAAGATTAGGGCATTTTTTTCAATATACTGAAAGAGTTTTGAATGGCGCTGGGCATGATCATATTATATTATTATACTGCTTAATAACTAAATAACATAATCTAGACTCTTATAATAATTGAGCTAATATAGATAAGATGAAGATAGCGATTATGCTAAAAACAATTTATACTGAATAAGGCTTAAAACTATTGTGAATGCGTTATTATGTTCAAAATTTTAAACTTAAACATTCTCTGAAAAACTATGACAAACTAAACAGTTATACGGCTTCATTTGACAATTAATGAAACAGCTTACAAAACAACCTAAATTGACTATGGAACTTTCAATGCAAATCAATTGTACAAATGTAGGAAAAGTATTGTAAGAACAATCAAGCTACATAAAAATTGAACTAATGTTTTAACTATAATGAATGTTTGTAGTTAAAATGTTTAATCCTTTTCTTTATATTATAGGTATTTATCATTTTCCACAGAATTGGTAAAAATGTAGATGAAAAGGCAAAATAATTACTTGCAAACAAAAGAAAATACTTTAAAACCAAAGATATCATTGAAGTAAAAACGTGTCGACATAAGAAATCCGAGAAAAAAAGAGCTTGATAAGCAATTATAAAAGAAAAGAAAAAAAGAACTCTTAACTCAGCAGGAAATAGTAATATAATATAACAGCAAAAAGCAAAAGCAAGAAACCTAAAGCGTGAAAGCAAACATAAATGGTTTCTACTTTCATAGGACTTTTGGGTGAGTTCTAAATTTCTGACTCAATATATTTGTAAAATTGTTAACTGAAACAAACGTAATTTTCCTCTCAATTCTTTTCCATATCAAAAGATATACAATCATGGTGGGAGATACCGTGTATTTCACATTTTTGTTCATTGTTTAGTTCTGCATTTGATTTGCCTGATATTGATATTGAGGTAAGTTCTTTGCGTTTTACTTAAATGAAGACTTCATTATTTGTATATATTTTTAATTTTGAAGGATTTAGAATCAGCTTTATTGTCAGATGGTACTTTGGCTGAAGAAGATCATATTGCTTTAGTCCCAGAGCTTATTGTACGTTTACTTAAAGGCTGCGATGCTTTGCGTTCGGTAGCAAAAGAAATTACTCACAGCAACTATCAAATGTTTTTGCGGCGTTACTTACGCCAACAGTGTCGTCTGCATAAAACGGAAAATCATTTCGATACCGATATTGATTTTCAATCGTTACCGGTACGCAAGCGCCTTTTGATTTTATATGATTTATGTCATTTTCGTTTAAACTCGTCGGATGTGCAAGTGATTTTAAATAACTTGGAAGCAGATAGCTTGCGAGTTGAACCGTTAGGTTACGATTCGAAGAATTCCGGTTATTGGTATTTTTATGGTACACGTTTGTATCGCGAGGACAAACCAGCTGGTTCTGTTAATAGCTTGAAATCGCAATCGGTTTGGCAAGTGATTTGTTTTAGTGAAGAGGACTGGCAGAACTTGGCAGCGAAATTTAAGAGTTCCACGAATCCTAAAGAAAAGGAGCTCTATCAAATATTGGATGAGAATTTCCTGCCAAAATTACCCCAGTTATTTCGTGAACGCGAAAGATTGAGAAGAAGGAAGTAAGCACAATTTGATTATTATTTAAATAACAAATTCCAATGATTATTTCATTTTATTTATTTTGCAAAATTTTCTAATCCAGATTATTTCAAGTACGCAACTCGTCGCGCATGCGAAATTTGGCAGAACTGAAAAATCGCCAAGAGCAAGAACGTTTGCAAAGAGAAAGAGAACGTCTGCAACAGCAACAGCAGCAGCATCAACAGCGTTATCAATTCGAGCAGCCTTCCGTTAAACCCGCTTTTTTGCCTTTAACTACCTCAATTACACAAACTAGAGCACGCAGACGGTTAGCTACAGCCAATAGTCTACTCGTCTAAACCAATAAACAAAACACTAAGAAAAAAGAAAAACGTACCAAAAGAATTTTATATGAAATACAAGAAAACTAAAAAAAAAAAACAAAAAAAAAAAAAAAAAATTCATTCCCAAACAATATTCTACAAAATCAACTAATTTAAAAATCCAACAACAATTGGCAATAACCGCAACAATGACATTTAACCATTGATATTATTTTCCATCTTGATCACTAAACACAAACATTTTTCATGTTATCCATCACCAAGTTCGTTTGTGGCTTTGTATATTTTTACTTTTTTTACATAAAAGAGTTTGTTTCTTCATCAGTTTTCATTAAAAAAAAAAAATAATAATAATTATAATAATAATAATAATAAACATGCCGCCACACATTTAATCATTGAATTCGTGGAAAACCAAAATTCACTTCAAAATTTTCACTCATTTGTCAAAAAGATCCAAAAAGTTTTTCTTTTGCTCAAAAATTAAATCAAAATAAAACCTCTTAAAAAATAGAGAGAAAGAGAGAGAAATAAACAACTCGTAAAACTAAAATTGTAGTGGCTGGCGTGAATTTTTTTGATATTTCATTTCTGATTGATTATCTACCACATTTTTGGCTTGATTGATTGGATTCTGCAAAACACGAGCAATCAATTTGTGTTTTCCAACTTGAAACACACTTGATTTATTTTGTTTTTTGAACAAATTATGTAAGCATGTTTTAATTTTATATTTTACGAATTTCGCCTTTTTCTTCTTTTAAAAATTAGGTTTGTGCGTAACGCATAAAGCATGTAAAGAATTTTTGGTTTTTCTTTCATACGTTGACTCGCAGTGATACTAAAACATAAACAAAAAACAAAAAAAAAAAAAAAAAAAAAAAAAAAAAACGGAAGATTGCCAATAGAATAATCGGACGGGAATTAAAATAATGATAAAATAATAAAGATAACATGTAAAAGTATCAAATTGTTAGTGGTTGATGATTGCTGGGTAGAAAAGAAATAATGTTAGACGGTAATTGAAGATTTAACCAGAACCTAGAGCCAAATTTTTTAATGGTATCTTGAATTTTGCGTCGCATCGTTCCGTGTTCATTCTCCCTACTATAGAATAATCTTTTAAGCGTTTCGTAAGTCACCTCATAATATTTTAAAAGGATATCACTTGGCTTATTAAAGAATTGAGATCTTCTCTATACTGAAATCAACTAGATCCCATAATTGCGCCGTTGTTGGCGTGCTTCCACTGTGTATGAGCGAATTTCCCGTTCTATTGCTGATTGAAGTGCTTCTGTTTGTAGTGTGAATGGTTATTGCGAGTTACCTTGGCGAAGTAACAGCTTATAACAAATACATAAACGTTGTTAATTATTCTCTTGGGTTAAAAACGAAACGAGGATGTGGATGAGTTGAGAAATATTTTTTAAGAACAATATTCATCTCTATTAAGTTCTTTAGACTTGGACGCAAAGCATATAAAGGATGTTAAGATCGACAATAGACTGACCCCACCGATCGTCACCGGAGAAGCAATTCTTTTCTGTAATGTTGAATAAAAAATTTTCTCGCCTCTTTACACATTTTTCATTACAATAATTCAAAGGCAATTTTATACGAACACTGAAAACAAAATCTTCCGTTTTTCATTTGCTTTTCAGTTATCACATCATTTTCATTACGTGCATGATTTCATTGTCTTTCTATTGAAATTGAACGTTTCTAAAATGTATTGTTATCGCTAAATTTTTATTTTTTTTTTCGCGGTTCTTCTTTCAATCTGAATTTCATAGATCTCCGTCTACCTCAACAGCAAGTGGTATATCGACATACGCAAGTTCTTTACGTCGCACTATAACCACAAATTCTAGCGAATTTCTCGGTCATCGAGAAACGTTCTGCTTAACATCAGAAGACGAGGAGGAAGAAGAAGATAAGAATAGCGATCTGCCCGATTACGACGATAACGAGACAAATTTTAACGCAGCCGAAAATAATTGTGCAGAATCTCATACAGCGCATCGTCGGGCGATTCAGGATATATCGCCTTTGACTGAAGAAGATTTGAACTTATTGAAGAATATCAAATTAGAACCGGAAGACGACGAAGCGGCTAACGTCAGAGAAGTATTAGAGTCGGTAAATTCAGGTCATAATCACAGCTTTCAGAACGCCACCAATAACAATATTTTAACGTCTGTACATTTGTTGACACATCATGATAATCAAAGACAACAACAGTTACAGCAAAAACATCCATTTGTTGAAGACGATGTGGTTTTAGAAACCATAAACGAAAAGTTAACAAAATCCAATCGCAATAAAACGCATCATCATCACCACCACCATCATCATCATCATCACCATCATCATCATAAGAAGAAGAAATCGCAGAAAAAGCAAAAAAAGAGATCCAAAGAGCACCATCGCAGCAAACGGCATAAGCATGAAAATAGCTTTAGTGCTTCAGTACAAAGTACAAACTACAATAACAATCAAAATATAAGCACGATACCAAATTCCAATAGTAATACAACGACAACAATAGAAACCAGAAATTTAACAAAAGCGTCGGCAACAACAACAGTAACAACAGCAGCAGCAGCAGCAGCAGCAACAACAACAACAACAACAACAACAGCAGCAGCAACAACAACAACAAATAGAAAGCATAACAAGCAAAAACAACAACAGCAACATAAACATAACCATCGTCATCATCAGCAAGAGGATATTGATGAGCCAGTGTTAAGTCCTGAAGATAAGGAGAACTTTTGTCGTGCTATTGGTGTAATACCCAATGATAGTTTAAATAATTCCAATAATAACAGCAACAATCAAAACGATTTAGATTTAAATCAATCCGGTTCAGTGGCGGGAATTACCAACGACGTTGGTGTCCTTAGCGCTGGTGATCTATTACAATCAACCATAAAAAGAGAAAAAGATCATCATCGCATACATGATATGGCTCCAACGACAAATATGAAATTGCCCGGACGTCAGACAAATAACTCTCTATCATCGTTAACGGGTAATATATTCATACCGACCGCCCTGCAAGATAATTCAACCACATCTACAGCCACAAATACGACAACGGCAACAACAACAAGCGGAGCATCATCATCATCTACCTCGAAGGAATCTAACAAAGCGAAAAGTTCATTGTCTTCCAATATGGCAAATAAAAAGCAAAAAAACTCATCCGCAACAGCGGATAAATCCTTAACAAATCAGTCGGGCTGTAGTGGCAACAGCAGCGGCAGCAAACGCAAATCAAATAGCACCGCCTCAACCGTAGATGGATTACGACAAGATCTGTCACAACATTCGGATGAGTGAGTTTAAAATGAAAAATTCAGAATTTATTTGTATCTAATTTTATGTATGTACTGTAAATATGTAGTTTGATGTGTACGCTTGTCTGTGCATGTATTGATAATTTAGAATTTCCTCTTTGCACGGTTGGCTAAAAATTGGACATTATCCTTACCTTTATGCTTCAGATGTACGCGCATTAATAATCATAGGCTTTTTTTTTTTGACGCATAGCCCAATTTTACGGCAGCTTCATTTAAAGCATTTCGCGATTTTTAGGAAAACCAAATCTACTTCTAATAAAAATGTAAAAAAAGAAATGTTTGCAATTTCCAAAAAAGAAGCTTTAAAGACCTATAAAGCGTTTATATTCAAGATAATCAAGATCAAATTATGAATTGATTCAAGTATGTCCATCGGCTATGTCCGCTCTTTATTATAGATTATTGTACCCATCACCAAAGGTTGAGAGGTATATTTATTTTGTCAAGACGTTTGCCCAGAAGAAAGCATCAGGGGCCCCACAAACTATACGAACAAATCTTTTGAGTATGTCTGTCTGACTGCCTGTTCGGCTGCCTGTAGTGTCTGTTGTAAACATTCTCCTGGCCGCAAAAATGAACTTTCGAGCTTAAATTTGCCAGAAAGATTGGAAGTTCTTGCAAGCAAGTTGGTATTAAAAGTGGGCAAAATCGGTTAAAGTGGGCACACCAACAACAGTACGTTACGTAAAGCGAGGTCACTTCCCACTTTTTTAAAAGGAATAAGAAATTTAATTTTTTGTTTTTCATACTCTGTGGGCGATATTCTAGTACCTCGACAAAAGTTGAGAAAACTGGTCATACCTATCTCAACTGTGTAGTGTATCATAATTGCATATTTTTCGGCCAGTTTCAAATTCACAATGCACCTAAACATGTCCGTTAATTCATCTGTCCATTTGTCCTTAGCGTAAACATGTAGTAGTATCTGAGAGCTAAATACTCTCTCGTTAGCGAACATTATCGTATCGCCTATAAACTTGCAAAAAAAAATTTGAAAGGCGCCCAAACTTTTCAAAGAATCTACACCACGCCGCCACGTCTATATAGCAAAAACTGTAAACTATTTTGCTTTCAACACATACACCATATAAATTGTCACTTTTATTCTGAAAATAGGAAAAAATCAGCGATACCCACCCGATATTACAGAGTACGAATATTTAGTTTTTTTCCTTTTTTCAATTTTTTTTTAGGCCAACAGTGATGTGTGTAAAAGATTCGGTCACGACCGAATTGAATTTTCTTCTTTCTTATTAAAATTTCGTTTTCTTCAAATTTTTTTTGTTTTTTTTTTTTAAGCATAAACGTAATGGGATATAGAAGACTCGACTCAGTCGGACTTAGTTTTTTGACTACCTGACTACGAAAAGTGAATTCGTCATTATGACTTTATGCGTTAAAAATTTTAACTTGTTTACATTGGCACGAAGATTCAAACTGTCCACTTTAAAATAATGTTGTTTAGTTGGTGCGGTAGAGGTTCTCGAACAAAACACATCCAAAAAACAGATGATTGATATAAATAGGAATTGATGTAATTACTTTAGAGATTTGGAAAGATCAATATACAAGAGGACAGAATATAATAACTTAATAGTAAGGCAATGTTTGAATTAAATGGATTACTGAAGCGCTTCTATTACTACTACTAAGTGGCAGGTTTGGTTCATATATATTCGCAAGGTATGGTCTGACTATGAAATCATTTATATAATTCTATCGAAAAAAATGTTGTCCACTTAATTCGCGAGTTTTGGAATCTACTTTAGTAGATAGATGGTTTTGCTGCAGACTAATACCACGGTTCCCCGAACAATCAGCAATAGTTGTTGCTAGCAATAGTCAATATTTTGAATAACATGGGAATAAAAAAAAAAAAAAACAATAATCCAAATAATTAATATATTAACATATGAAAAAGTGTTCACGTGTGTAGATGATAAGCATACTATGGCCGTTTTGTTTAGGATATGGCGCCTTGGTTTGAATTCAAATATATTTAAATTTTTTTAGGTCATCCTTATCAATGATAAGTTTCCATGTGAAATACCCAAATATACGTCTTCTTAGTTAATAGATAGCTACATTCCAGCTTGGGAATCAGAGATAATTCCAAGATGGGTGTGACTTGCAGATTATAAATTGTAACCTATACGAATTATTAATATACGGTTTAGTATTAATATTGTCTAGTGTCAATCCGGAAAAGAGTAGAAAAGAATAGATGGATTTGACTTGACACGCCCGTATTAAAGAATTTGTTTACAAGTTCTAGGCTAAGATCTCTAAAGATTTAATCTATGAAAGGACAAATTATATAATTCATATTTTTAATGTCTAAAGTTAAAAGCAACTTTATCCCAACTGATCTGATGAAATCGCTTAGGGGTAATGTGAATATCGTTCGTTTCATTTTTTTAAATTTACATATATTTTGCCAGATTTGTCTTATGTTGTTGAAATATTTAATTACAGTTTTCTTAACCAAATTTTGATTTGTAGATAAGAAGCATGTCTTCATGTTTTCGATTTCTTCTTGCTTCTCTTAGCATTTTTATTGGCTTTTTCGATTTTTCTCTGCTATCTCTTCTTTATTTTATTTTTAGTGAGAACAATCACTTGTAAATAAGCAAAAAAAAAAAAAAAAAAAAATCATTAAAATCAATTGTATTTTATGCTTCCCTTGTATTTTCGTTTATTTTGTTTTTCTTAACAAATGTCAATAAAAACCAAACATCATCTCTCAACCTCAAATATAATCAATTAAAATAATGATAAATGATATGCGACATAAATAAAAAACAAAACATAATTTATGCGTAATGTAAAACGTAAATATCCTACATGACCACCACTACCATATCATCACCATCACCACTACCATAACCTTTACCGTCACCTTGTTGTCCTCCATATTAAATGTAGAAATGTAATTAGTATCAAACGGCAATGTGCACTGCAACACGAACAAAGAAAGCGACATCAACCAAAAGAATATTATGATGCCAACACCAACACCGTCACTACCACCACCACCACCACTACCGCCACCGCCACCGCCACTGCCACTGCCACTACCACTATCACTACTACAGTCACGAATAGTTGTCATTACAATCAACATTATCAACGACAATTGTGCAGTAGTAGTAGCTATGTGCAGTGTGGTCGAATAACATCGCCATGTAAAGTAGCAACAACAGAAGCAGCGATTCCACCAAGCAAACGTTACTTAAAACATAATACTAATAATTACAGTAGCACTACTACTACCCTCATCAATAATAACAATAACAATAATAGTAACAATAATAATAATAATAATAATAATAATAATAATAATAATAATAATAAGTCCCATTCATCATCCATTTCCACTTCATCCATAATTAATGCAAAATTTTCTCATATTAATACAAATGCACACACTTCCCATTACTATCAACATAATCATCACAATCCAAATTCCTCATCATTATCATTATCTACAAATGCGACATCATCGTCATCGTATGTACATAAAATGACTTCCCTGTGTAGTACACATCAACAACAACAACGTTCACAATACTACAACAATTATTGTACAAACAAAAAATCCATCACATCAAATATTCTTAGCTTTACTGAAACGGATGAGATCTTACAAATTGGTATGCATAAGGTGTTGGTCTATGTAAAAAATCATCGTGACGCTTGGCCATTTATGGATCCGGTTGAAGAAGATATAGCTCCCAGATATTATTCAATTATCCGAAGGTTAGTCTTATTTAGAATGCGTTATAATTTGTAGTTCCAATAGAATTATTTATTTTCCCCAATTTTGAAATACCGTTATTACAGACCAATGGATCTTTTAAAAATGGAAGATAAACTTGATAACGGTGAATATCAAAAATTCAGCGATTTTCGTAATGATTTCAAGCTCATAGTTAACAATTGCCGTCTTTATAACGGCAATAATAATGGTTAGTACATTATTTTCTTTAATATTATTTATAAGAATACCTGCAGATTTGCTGATTACATACATATATATTCTTCTAATCTACAGAATATACTGAAATGGTTAATAATTTGCAAGAAGCATTCGATAAAGCCACTAAAAAATATTTTGATCATCTATCTGATGATGATGAGGATGATCCTGGCTTAAGTTATCCAGCATCTGATTCGAAAATGAATGTGTTTCGTGAAAAATACTTTAGCAAGAAGAACAAAGATAAGGAGAACTCGGAGTTAGGTACAGCTAGAAAATCATTGGGCAAAAGTCAAGACCGCAAAAAACACACACGTAAGGAAAAACTGCAAGAAACTGAAAGTGAGGAGGAAGAATTTAAGGCTGTGCGCGATATGCGCTCAATAAAAGAATCAGTTATAGATGATAAAACGGAAGAAGAATTAACAGAAAGTTCGCCAAAAATTAATAAAAGAAAACGAAAAGAAAAGGATAAAAGACGTAAAAAGAAATCACGTAATCGAAAAGAGGAAAAGTATAGCGATCAAGAAGCAGATAAATTACAAAATGAAGAACCGCCACCAGATGAAAATGACGAAGGCGAGGACTACGAAGAAAGTAGAACATCTTCAAGAAAAGGAAGAAACTCTAAGGAGTCTTCTTCGCGAAAAAATCGAAAGCCTAGAAATGATAAGAAATCCTCAAGATCTAATAATAAAATTGATGCAAAGTCAAGAAAGTCAGTAAAGAAGTCAAATAAAAGTAAACAAAAGGAAGAAGAAGATATGTTAGAATATTCCGATGAAGATGATTGTGTTAGCGTACAGAATGACCTTGATGCTAATGACATCAAAACAAACCGAAGCTTTGAACTGAAATCGTCAAAAAAAACTAAATTAAAGCAAAGTACATCAACAAACCAAAAAAGAGCGAAAACTGCAGGAAAAAAGAAAAAGGACAATTCTTCAGCAATCAGAAAGTCGAAGGGGCGGACTAAACCGTCTTCTATTCGATTGAAAAGAACAAAGACTGAACCGTGCGAGTCAGAAGAGGTGAGTTCTTTAGATGGTAATGAACGGGATAAAACGGAAGAACTTCAAGAATGTCCGCCCACTTCACCACCGCCGCTACCGCCGCCTCCACTTAAAAAAAGACCAAGTTTGCCATTAAGTAAAGACTTTCCACCTCCCGCTGTGGCTGCTTTAGAAGCTTCCGCATCGGAACTAGAAGAAGACATAAATGATGATGACTCGCGTAGCATGTCACCATTTAAAGTGGATTTGCATAAAAAATACTCAAAAAGTGTCCTTAATGACGATCTCTCTGATCTATTATCGCCTGTGCAGAAGATGCCAAGTCCTAGAGCATCCAGTCCGAGCTGTAAAATAAAGCCTTCAGAAACAGACGAGGATGACTTTAAGTCAGTGTCTAGTCACAGCTCTTCGCAATCTAGAGAGGCCAGTGTAGAGCGTCCTAAAAGGAAACAATCCCCCAAAACGGGTAAAAATTCCAAACGAAGTAACGAAACAAAACGCAAATTGTCGACATCTAATTTGAATTCGTGCGACAAAAAGAAAGCAGACCCAGAAAAAGATGCTGCGGTAGCAGCTGCGGCTGCTGAACAAGCCGAGTTAGACATGCTGTTGCCTTTTTTAGATAAATACGAACTAATTAAATATAGACGAAGTCGCGCTTTATTGAATCAACAACAAAATGCGATAGCAACTACCGAATCTAAATCATCTACACAAAGACAGCAAAGCTCTCGTAAACGTGATTCTAACAAGAATATTGAAACGGAAAAAAATGTAGAAAAGTCGACTACAGAAAACACGCGTGGACGTAAATCTAAAGACGGATCAAAGAAAGCAAAAAAGGTTTTAGAAAATTCAGTCACTGAAAAATTCAGCGATTCTGCAAAAACTCCGGAAAAAGCAATAGAAGCAAAAATTGATTCTAATAGGACGAGTAGTATTGCAAAAGTGGAAAGTCCCAAAGAGCAACAGTTATCAAGTGAAGATTTATTAAGTGAAACTCAATCAATTAAAGAAAGGAAAAACATAAGCATGGATAAATTGCCACCTAAGAAGAAAGAGAAGCTGAAAGCCATATTAAATGAAAGAGAGGCTGAATTCTGTGAGCCATCCAAATTGGAGGAAGAAGAACAGAAGAAAACGGTAGCGCCGCCGCCTCCCAAGAAGTCTTTGCAAAAAAAGGCTGCTGTCTCAGTAACGGCTAATAAGAAAATCACTAATAAAGGGAATGCAGCGACGAGCTTTAATAAGCCTTCTGCTTCGTCAACAAATTTAGAAGCCTTGGATGTAGAGACCGAGCAAACCTTGAAAGACATTAATCGTTGGCTGGAACATACTCCACGGTTTTCCGAATTTTCCTCAGCCAGTAATTCGCCTTCACGCTATAATCTGTTAGATGATTTTGATGCTTCTATAACCAGCAAATTAGACGCTTCTGATTTTCGGCGTAACGAACCCATAGCTCCCGCGAAAGTCGATTTGGTACCCGTCAAATTGGCTGAGGCGTTAGATGAGCTTGTAACAGATAATAATTCATCTAGTGACACTACATTGCCAAAGAAAGATATAGCCGACTTGTTGCCAGGAACTACTAGCAGATTGAGTTCGATAAGTAACACGCCACCTCATTCGGTGACTTCCGGTAATTCTGTGGGTAGTACTACTGTAAATGCTTCTTCAAATAGCTCTTCTGTGAACGCACCTTCTATAGCTTCTTTATCATCAGCTGCTGCAGCAGCAAATACTCCTTTGCTAATTCCGCCCCCAACAACTGTGCCCCCCACATTAACTACGATTACCGCACCCAAACCAAAGGAAACACAATTGCTCTTACATCCTCCTCCTCCACCTCATATTAAACAACAAATGGCTAAAGAAGCTAAACGTAAATCTCTCAAGGAAAAATTGCAAGCAGCCACAAATCCCCGACGTAAGGATCTTTTGCGAACTATAGATCGTTTACAACCTGGCAAAGCTAAAGGTAATTTGATACAGAATGTTAATAAACCAGAAGAATTATTTCAATTGGGACCAGTAGCTGCTAAAGCTAAGGAGGTTAAAAACTCATTGATCGTTGAAACAGCTGATAATGTTCCCAAACTAAGTCTTGGTACAGTAATAAAGACGGATAATTTCGGCTTAGGGCAGTCGTCTTTTATTGACGAATTGGCCAGTAAGACTGTAAATAAGGCCGCTGTAAGCCCTGTTTTATCCACCTGCGCAGATAAAGAAGTAGAAGAAAAACTCAAAAATAAGAGCGAAATTGTTCTAGAGGGTTTGCTGCCCTTTCCTAAAGTAACAATATTAGCAGCGACAACGTCTTTGCTACCTAACGAAGACGGTATAGAAACGCAAACAGAAGACACCACAGAAGCCAAAGATAAACAAAGACCTTTTGAAGCTTTGCTAACAGCTAAGACTTTACTTGTAGGTGGCAAATCAACGGCTACGGAAAATATAGTCGCGGGCTCAAGTTCTAGCTCTTCGGGCTCTAAAGAAAAACCAAATTTGAGTGTGTGGCTTAAAGCGTTTGGAGCTCCCAAAAAGACGAAGAAGTCAGATGAAGACGAGGCAAAACAGCAGGATGCAAATGAAAACTCTTCGAACAAATCAAATGAAGGCACTTCCCAGGGATCAGGAACTACTACCGGGGCTGTTGCGGGTAAAAGTCCCCCATCAGCCTCTTTAATAGGGGAGGGTTTCTCTCTGCCTTCTGCTCCTCGCCAACGTAAAGCTAGTACAGGCAGTACTATTTCAGAACGATCAAGCTTTAGTCAGGATCCCGATTCTCCAAGAATTACTATAGAAGATCGTTACGGCACGTACGGAGGAGGCGCTTACACTTCACCAATAGGTGCTTCACCTATAGGAGCTTCACCCATAATGGTGTCACCCAAACCAGATGAAAATACTAAACCCACTTCGCCCTATCCTTTAAACGGAGCTATAAAAGTTGGTTTTTATCAGGATACTACAACCAAAAGTAGTCCTGATAAAAGTTGCAGCCCCAGAGAGATGCCCTCACCGTATCCGCAGTACTCGCAGCATATTTATTCTTCAGCTTCATCACCTAATGTTTCTACACCCGAACTAAGTGGTACTTCTCCTTATGGAGGAGCCAATAGTTACAATCCTTCAGGCTCGGAAGCTTCGAAAACCCCAGTGTATTCTTCTACTTCGCCTCTGCCAAATCTCTACGATCAATATAAGCAGCCCAGATCTCAAGAGTCAGATTATAATTCGTCAATGAGTCCTAGTACACCTAATCCACACTCGCCTTACCAACAGCCACAAAATTCTCCCTACACGACGCCACAACCTCATCAATCACCGTATCATCCGCCAAATTCACCATATCAACAAACACAACAATCTCCTTATCCTCCTCCAGCGCAGTCACACAGTCCTGTACATACGCCGCAAAGTAGCATGCATTCTCCTCTCCATCAGCAGCAGCATAGTCCCTTGCCTAGTATAGGTTCACCGGCCTCTTCGGCTACCACTCAACCTCCTACACCTTTAGCTCATTCACCAGTTGACCAGCAGCAACAACAACAAAATTCTCCATATCAACAACCAGTCTTATCACCTTATCAACAACAACAGCCCCAGCCCTCCCAACAGCAACAAACTCACAGTACGGCTAATGTAACAGCATCGCCCCAACCTCCAACTTATGTTTCCTCCACAAGTATTTATACATCTCAACAAACTATAGGAAATTCTTTGGTATATAGTGGACAGCAAACCCCCCAAATGAATAGAGAGACTCACAAGCATTCTAGCGCCGAACATCATCAGCAGCAAATTTATCAGAACGAAATGGAAGGCACTTCAGCAGCAGGACAAAATGCTGCAACAGTTTTATCCTCCAATGCTTATGTTCCACCAACTGCTGCAGTGTCAACCGCACATTTGCAACAACAGCAAAGGCAAACAGAACCTACTGCCAATATTCTATACAACAATTCCATAAATACGATAAACAAAAGTCGCGTAGCAGGTAGTAATAAAGTGCACGATTGGCGCGAAAATTCTTCATCTTCTTCTTCTTCTTCTGCGATAAGTTGTCAACAACAACAGACTACCGCTGCTAATAGTCAACAACAAGTGAATATTCTCGGCCACCATACACAGCAACAGCAGCAGCAATCACTAATACAGAAACCTCAGTATCCAACATATGCACAATATCAAGCAGCTACAGTGCCTGGGGTTAATAAAGCAGTCGTCTCAGTCCCTGGTAGCGCAACTAACGATCTGCAGGCTGAAAATGTAAAAAAGCAAACTAGTGCGGCGGGGACCGTTAATGCCACTTACATCGGAGATGCTGCTGTTGATACTGCCTCTACATCAGCGCCCGATGATGGTAACGGTGAAATGTCTGTTTTTATGCAACATTTGCAACATCAACAACAACCACAACAAATTCAAAAGAGCATTATAGCTGTCGAATCACCTAGTAGTACTCAAAATAATCAAAATTCTTTAAAACGATCTGCGACAGACGATTTGCTAGGAATGGATTATAGTGGAGGAACGACGCGGAAGATGCAGAAATCGGACGATGATGCAATTATTGTCGCTAATCAGCAACAGGCTCAATCAAGTCAACAACAGGCTCAACCAACACTGGCAGCTGCTTTAATGGGTCATCAGCAGACACAACAACAGCAGCCCTCCCAACAATCACAACCACAACAACAGCAATTCAGCAAATACTCGCAGATGTTTGATAGCATTTTGGGTTCAATGGCGTTTAGTAAACATTTGGGCAATATTGCGAGCGATAAAGCTTTTTTGTACAATCATGCTGCTTCTTTGGGATTTCCGAAAGACTACACTAAGGATACGCAAAATTTTCAAATGTCGCAGCAGCAGTCAGAGCAAGCGAAAGGTATGATACAGCAGCAAGATCAAAATAAGCACGTTGCCAATGCTTTGATGCACACCAACCCAGAAACCCAACAACAACAACAACAGCAACAGTCACATTTACATCAGCAACAACAGAACAATCAAAGTGTACAACAACAGCAACATAAATCTAGCATAAATTATAATAATAGCAGCAGTGACTTAATTCAACAGCAGCAACAACAACAACAACCGCAAAAGTCCAGTGAAACTTTGCATAAGCCCTTAAATATGTCGAACAGCGATAACACATACATGGCCCATCAGCAACAACAACAACATCAGCAACAGCAACAGCAGCAGCAGCAGCAGCAACAACAACAACAGCAGCATAATGTACATCATCAGCAACAACATTCAATTTATCAAGCTAATAAACTTACACAGCAACAGCAATCAATGCAACATAATTACGGTCATCAACAACAACAACAACAACAACAACATCAACATCAATCACAACAGCATTCCTCAACTACAGAAAAAACTTCCACAGGCGCTACAAACATGGCCATTACTCACGATACTCCTGCGAACAACAACACTAGTACTACTTCTTCTAATGGTGGTAACAATAGTAATAACAGCACTTTATTGAATGCTTTAAACAGCTCGCATCATTTAACACATTCACATCATTTGGCTGCCTACAATAAACCAACACCGCCACCGCCGTCATCCACACAAACCTATAATAATCCCACCAGTTCATTATTGCATCCCCTGGGTGATCCATCAATGTTGGGTTTATCAAGTACATCTACATCATCATCATCGTCGAGCAATTTTTATGACAAATCAGTACCACCAGTAGCACATATGTACAGTTCTACAGCGAGCTCGATGGCTAAGAGCTTAACGGCTTCCCCAGCGACGCAACTATATACAAACCCTTTAAATGGATCGGCGAATTCTTCCGCTGCGGGTGCGAGCATATATGGGAATCCGCATCAAATGCCCACTGCCAGTGGTAATTATTTCCATAGCTTGACAGGTAACATGCAGCAACAACAACAGGCGCAACAAAGCGCAACGGAGGTAAAACCGGCAGCTCCAGCTCCGGCAAAACGAGGGCGAAAAAAGAAGGCATCTACTATAGCGGCTGAACAGGCAGCCGCTGCTGTCAAACAACAACAACAGCAGCAACAACAGCAACAACAACTGCAACAACAGCAACAACAACAAACGCACCATCATCAACAACAGCAACAGCAAAATCTTCACACTTCTTCTTCGTATAACAACCCCGCCTCCAATATAACGCAAAACGTGGTGGCTGCTAATGTATCAGCCGCTCATCATTTGCAGGCTCATGCTCAAGTTTTACAACAGGGCTTCCAATTATATGCTGGCCTCAAGTCTACCGGCGTCAGTTCGCCTCTTTCGACTTCAAATTCATCCGCCGCTACAGCCGGCTCAGTTGCCTCTAGCGGCAACACCGCTAATTCAGCAGTCACGTCATCAACAGCCTCAGCGCCGCCGGCGGTAGATGCGGCGACGGCTATTTCTCTTAAGACGGCTGCGGGCATGGTCCCAGGCAGCGCTTTTAATTTTGGTCCTAGTGCTGGCAGTCTAGGATTGTATGGCGATCAAACGGGGAGTAATAGTTATTTGGACCAGTTTCGGGACGCATCCAATTCATATTACATGCCACCAGCACCAGCTCATCGCAGCAGTTCAACGGCAAGCGATAACGCTAACTCAGCAGTAGCGGTTGCAGCAGCCGTCATGGATAAAACACAAACAACATTAAATCCGGCAGCAGCTGCTGCGGCTGCTGCTACAAATCCTTATAGTCTATTCGCTGCTCATCCCTCGACCCGCGCAACCCCGTACACTTTCATGAATACTGCTTCTCAGCTAGACGCAGCCAACACACAATTATATCAGCAATATTTTCGCCGTGACGACTTCCATTCACGTATGATATTTAACCAAAGTTTGCTAGGTGGCCCGGCGGGCGCAGCAGCTGCTGCTGCAGCAGCTACTTATGCACAACCACCGCCACCGACTGCTTATCGAGCTCCATCGTTAGGTTTGCCCAAACCATATGACGCCGCCAATCCTCGTTCATGGTTCTAGCAGTGCGCTACTCAAAACGAGTCACAAGTAAATGATGAGTCAACTTCGAGTGAGCACCAGATAAATGGAAGCACTTTAATGTCGTCAACTGAAACACAGGAACATCAACAGCGATTGCAGTTGTAATAATGTGGGTGCGCATTGCAGATTGTAGATTAGTATTTAAAGTCGAATGTTTTATTTATTATTTTTTTTTTTTAATATTTTTCTTTTTAATTAAGTTCATTATAAAAACTGCAAAGAATATGCCCATGATATAGAAAATTTTCTGTTTATTTCCTTCGCAAATACAGACATTAAATTATTTACAACACATAAGACGCAGATGTAGCTTTATTTCCGATTATTAATATGTAAAAATTACTTGTATGCATTACGTATACGTTTCATTGCCACGCATTTAAGTCGCGTAGATTGTTTAGTCCCATCTTCAACAATTCTCATGCTTGCCAATTCCATTTTCTATTTCGTACGGTCCGTTATAATTGTTCGCATTCTGTTATTTACTTTATTAATGCTGGAATTACTCGATTTTTAGCGTATAATTAAGTTTTGGCCTTGAGTTGACTGGCAGAGAAATAGTAGAGTTTGCAGTCATTTAACCATTGACGATAGTATCGTTGTTAGCAATATTTCCTGTAGGTGTTGGTAACATCGAATAGGACAGTGGTTTTTTCCGGTAAAAATTACGTGAAATAAATAGAATAGTTGTGAAATATATATAGTTTAATTGCTCGGATACAATTTATTTGGAAAATTTTTATGTTCAATAATTGAAAGGAAGAAGCTCGTTCGACTGAACAATCAAACTTCCATGTAAGGTGCTCTGTCCGAGATCCAAGATCAAATGCCGTCAGTATTAGGAAAAAGCCTATTGTTGGGAGATCAGTAATATTAAAATTGTATGCATTTTTCATTTAAGGAAAATATATCTGCCCCTATGCAGCTGTCAGCGGCATCCTACAAAACTTTCATAACAAATATAAAACAATTCGCTTTTTTGTCCGCGTCTGCCGGAAACCGCAAAAATTGAGATAGATATGTGGGACAAACAACATATATATATATAACAACATATATAAATAAGCTGGAAAATGTGGCGTAGTGGATCTGCAAACATCTTCATAATAGTAGTTGAAAATCTTAAATAATATCGGAAAAGATGTTGTCTTTTAAAATATCTTAAGTGTCGTATTATTAAATTTTTCCTTATATACTTGTTTTCCGCTGATTTGTCTTTTTAATATTTTCGGGAAATTTAAGGTAAATTAACTCCAATAGTTGACCAATTTACGTATATAATTATTTACCAGTGTAACGGGTATACATATCAAAACATATAGAGGTGATAGATGAAACGTATGCCGCATTTTCTTATGAAAATGATCGCATATAGAGGAAGAAAGTGAAATTTTCGTCGAGTATAATAGTAGAAAGATAAGTAAGTTCTCTCTGTTAAGTACTGAACACATTCTACCCCTCTTAACACTTGGAGAAAGTGCAATTTCTGAACCGAAACTATAGTTATATATGCAATTAATTTTAAAGATTTTTAAAGTTACAAAAAAATTTTTGTTTTTTCATTTGTTTTTATTCAATATGTAAATTATATAATGTGTGTTTACTTTTTCGAAAATTTTTAGTACAGAATTTATTGTAAAAAAAAAACAAAAAAAAAAAAAACACTAACATTTATGTATAAGATATTTCTTTTTAAGATTCTTTCTCGCCGTATACCTACATACATACATACATACATACATACATACATACACACATAGATACATACACGAAAATATGCATACAATATGTATATATATACAAATACATATATATATATATATATATATACATATATATACATATAAATACATAGTTTTTTTATTTAGGTTTAAAGTAAGAATATAAAAGAAAAAACTGTTGAAATTTAGTTATAAAAAAACCTTAAAAAACTTGTTGATTTTTTGTTGTTATTTAAGGCGTAATACTTTGATAGATATTTTTTAAATATGCTTAACTTGTGTAAAAAATGTAAAAAAACATAAAAAATAAAAAAAAAAAATAATAGAAATAAATTATTATTTTTAAATTAATGTTAGATATTATTGTAATCCTTAAGTATGTGTAAATATTTTATTGCAATACAAATAAGTTGATGGGTTGGTTTCAATGCATATACATGGGCATCTACAAATTCCGTTTTTTTTTCGAAAGAGAAGTCAATCATCAAGTGAAGAAAAATAATAATAATAATAACAATAATAATAATAATAATAATAATAATTTAATTCTTACGGCCTCTTTCCCTAAAGGTGAAAATCTTAATTATTTTAAAATAATTGAATTCTTTCCTTTTTATTCGGTAATAATTAATACGTGAACGAAAATTCATTAAATTCGAGATCTAAATTTATAATCACAGGGGCAGTCCTTTTTGACATCATTCCATTTTAACGTAAAAAAAAAAAAACGTTAACAGACGTGCCTCGTCCTTCGAATTCTGCGAACTTAAAACTCAGGCCAATTGAAAGTATTTGAATTGTATCGAACATCGAGTGCTTGTGTACTCACAATGATAATGTTTTGTTTCATTTGTGTTAAATACGATTATTTCTTGTTCAAATTCGTGGGATGAATTGTGTGCTTATCGTCCGTCTGAAACTTTGGGCAACTATTTTGAGAATTACAGATTGTATAGCATTTTGTATTTCTATCTTTTAAATATACAAACTTTTTAGGCAGCAAAATAAAAGGCATCCTGCGATATGTCTTCCTATTCTTCAACGGGGAAATTTTCGATTGCTTTAAGCAGGTCTATCTAGTCACCTTTATCTATTATTGAGGTTATGTTGATCGATAAATTGATATAAAAAGATGAAACTTGCCGCCGACTTTATTAATGAAGGGCGATAACAAAGTGTGAAAGTGAGAACGTCTCACAAATGCGATCATAGTAGGTAAAACGAGATTCATAAATGACTTACAAGATATACTGTACTTATATTTAAAAGCTCATGTTCTCGATTAGTAGGATTGATATCCCGATTCGCGACAGAGTCACAATCTTTTTTTTTCAGGTTTTTTTTTAATTTTTTTGATTTACCGTATGTGAGGGTTAAATTTTAGACATCTTTGTAGGTTTAAAATTACGAACGGACAAATTTATTTAGCTAGATAAATGCAGAATGCCATTGGTCAAAAATGTTTTTTTTGTCATTTATGATGTGTCTCTTATGATGAATGATGAAATTGCCCGGACTTACTTTAGTAGGAATTACAAAACCGAGATGGTGAACAATTATCGAACCAAAAAGTAGACAATGCATGACGTCAATGTATATGTTCGCACTCAGAATTGATAGGAAGGACCATTTTTTACGGTTGTATTCAAAAAACTTTGATTAGCATTGCAGTGATTAAAGATAAGACAAATTTTTTATGATCTTTGATATTACGAAAAAAAGACTTTCAAAAGAGTTTATATAATCGAATTTTTATTTTTGAAATTTGCGCGCACGAACACACACACACACACACACACACATCCATGCACACGATTAAGAATCATGCTTTTTCATTTATAATTTTGTGTAAGCATCTCATATATTCGACTGGCTTTAGCTTTAAAAGAAAATGTAGATTATGCAAAAAGAAAAAAGAATAATAATAATAATAATAATAATAAGAATAAGATTAATAAAAAAAGAACTTACATTTGGTTTAGAAGAAGTCTTTTGACACCCACCACCTGATTTTTTTTTTCTTGTTTTAATATAAAAAAAAAATGCTAGAAAAATGAATTATTCAAAATTGCTGTTTGTTCGCGGCTGAACTATATGTCAACTCTGTGGATGAACCAATGAATCGATTTAGGTGCCTTGCGAATTTAATCTGCCAGCAAAAAAAAAAGGAGAAAAAGTTCTAAGATTGTGATTTCAGTAAAGAGGGACAGAAAAATCGACGGATGTACGGACATGATTTGGCTAAATCAATCCTTGATCAAAATTGTTTGTATAGTTAATTAGACGCCGGGAGCGTAGTTCTATTCGTAACAAGTAAAGTTCACATAGATTCTGTGGTGGATAAGAAAAAAAAAAAAAGAAAAGAAAAGCAAAAAAAAAACCAATTACAAAGTGTCTTAGTCCTATTAACAACACCTACAAATACATACTATTACCCGAATTACTTTCTAATTCCAATATTTTTTCACAAAAAGTACTTCATATTAAGGAAAAAAGATTTAATTGGTTTTTATGTAAAAATTAATCAATCATTTTATTCACATAGATTTTAAGATCACTCGGATAAGTGTTTAATGTATATTTTTTCTTATATAAAACACTTTGTAAAACGTTATGAATTTTGAATTAATAATATATTACAACAATATTAACATAGGATTTGTATGCTTTTATTATTATTATTATTTTTTATTATTCTTATTTTTCACACAAACACATGTATTTTTTAAATCGTATATTATTCTTGATATAAAAAAATATATCCAAAAATAGTTTTATTATAAATATATATTTAAAATGTACCTTAGTGTAAAAAGTAACAAATAAATACATAAACAAATATTATGCTAATGTTATTATCGAAAATTATGTTTTTTGTTTTAGAATAAACAATACATTTTACTCATTTAAAAAAAAAAAATAAATAAAGAAATAAATAAATCCCAAGAAAAGAAAATATTTAATGAAAACTGCAATAAAATAAACTCATTTATTGTCACGCATATGCAAAATGAATAAAGTGAATGAATAATTCAAGAATTATTTGTACACACACACACATACACACAAACACACCAATAATTCCTTTATAAAGCGGTTTTTACTGCATTAATATTTCTATATGAAAAGCAAAAAAATAAAAAAAATTATATATATATATATATATATATATATACATATATATATGAAATTGTATGAAAATAATTATACGAAATTAATAATAACAATAGTAATAATAGTACACAAAAAGAAAAAAAAATAGTAACAAAAATTGAAAATTATATATATTGACATATAAAATAATAAATATTCGAAAAAATGTATGTAAAAATCTTATTTAAATTAAATCGTATTCGTTTGAGAGGGAACTTTCAGCATTTACATATTAAAATGAGAAGGCGATCTAGCGGTGTTTAAAAGATCATAATATGTTGCACATAGAGTGCAGAAATTTTGTCAAAATATACGGTCCCTGGGCAAATTGTTGAAGGCATTCAATTGAATTCGAATGAATTCTTTATGTGTCTGGCGAACACTTTCAAACGCCTGTCATCTCTGTG